CCATACTTACTATACTAAAACTATTCCTTTAAATATGAGGGAAATAGTTTGGAAGTCATAAAGATTTGCATAAAATATACCATTGGAGAAAAAAAACAATCTTACCAGTGTAACAGGGCCGCAAAGGCAGCTGCAAGAAAAAAGATATTTAAATTATCAATTTAGCATATGGAAATATTTTCAACTTATGGGAACACACTTCAAAGACAGGCTTGCCAGCACCTGGGAGGTGGAAATGCTGGACCAAATGGGGAAAGAATACAGACTCTTGAAAGATGCCAGAGGCTAAGCTGAAAATACCAGCAGGCCAGTTCACCACAGAATCAGGCCTCCATCTGCAATTCCCACTCAGTCACTCACTCATTCAGCAAATTCCCCAGCTCCATTCGTTGGCCAAATACCACAAAGCAACCATTTAGCTGAAACTACCACAAACAGAATCGAAACAGAACCAACTAGTAAGAAGAACTTGGAACACAGATCCAGCAGCCTGGGAAGACAAAGCGTCTGCACAGTGAGGAGTAGTAGCTGTGCAGTAATGAGTGAAGTGCAATTTCTCCTCAAGTACTGCAATCTCTGAATCTGTAAGATAAATCCCAACTTTTTTTTTTTTCTACAGGGTCTTACTAGGTAGTACAGATAGGCCTTTAACTCGCATATATAGCCCTGGCTGGCCTCAAACTCAACAACGATCCTCCTGCCTCAGCTTCTTGAGTGCTAGAACTACAAGTGTGCAACAAACACGCACACACACACGCACGCACGCACACACACGCACACACTCAGGGGTTGACTCCTGCTTTGAAGGAATACAAAGTATAGGAAGTAAAGGAAAGAAAAGGTAAGAGGGAATAATAGTAACATCAACTTCATTTGAAAATCAATAGTTTGGGGCTGGGGCGATAGCTCAGTAGAATAAGTGCCTGTGCAGCAAGCTCAGTCCTGAGTTCAATCCCCTGTACTGCACAAAAAAACAAAATAAAGAAAGAAAAAAGAAAAAGAAAATCAATAGTTTGCTTTCAGCGCATGTACACAGAGCATATTAAAAGAAAACCAGAAAATGTCATTCAATTTTCTTATATCACAAGATACATCTCATTACAAGCTTCTAATTCACAATTCCTACGGAATCAAACCATGAGAATGTTTTAGAAATGGAAACCAAATAGCTCAGACCTCACTGTTTTATTTTTAAAGTAGTAGTTACAATTTTTATGTAAAAATCCATTTTGCTTTACAGATTCTGATAATCACAAAAGGCAGTTATTCTTTCTAGATCATCAAAGTTGCAACTATTTAACTTAGTTTGTCAACTTTTTATAAGCTGCGATGAAATTCTATGAAATGTTATTTCTTTGAAGAAAAGTAGATACACTGACAAATCTACTACTTACTCCATTGTGTTTCTATCTTTAAAGATTTCTTCCACCATAATAAAATTTGGGCATTATAATTTTCATAATTTAACTATTCTTTTTTTTTTTTTTTTGGCAGAACTGGGGATTGAACTCAGGTCCTTGCACTTACCAGGGAAGCACTTATTCTACTGAGCCATCTCCCCAGCCCTAACTATTCCTTTCTGAATAAATCATTCTTTCACTGAATAACTATAAATGATGCCTTTATCCTATTAGGAACTTGTCACGTGTGCTTCTGCACTCCTCTTGATATCAGAATTTATGAATTCAGGAAGAATTTACATGAAACAGAGCTGTGGTTACCTGGTACATGCCTTCAATTATTTGAATTGCTTTCTAATTTTACTCAAGAAAAAGCCTGTCAGCATACTTAAAACGGTGTGTCTCCGATCTATAGAGCTGGGAACCAGAATTGTTTCAAATTTTGAATTTTTTTCAGATTTTTTAATATCTGTACATACAGGATGCCTAGAAAGGAGACCCAAGTGGGAACAAGAAACGCATCTAGGTTTCACCTACATCTCAGATGCAGAGCCTGAGGGGGAGTACATACTACATCTTCAGCGACCCATTAGGGCAGGACCAGTGGGGAGTTATTCACTTGAGGCATCTCTGCAGCACTTAACTGTTTCAGGGCTAGAAGCCCTTGGACTTTGGATGAGGGATGCTATACACTCAGTGTATTCTAAGACGTGATCTGTTTTAATGGTTTTCTCTGCTAATATCCATGAACTCTTTTTTTGTTGTTATACACTATTGGACATTACTGTTAACATTTATCTCTGAAGATTATTTTTGTAATATATTTACATTTGGTTCATATTCTAAAGTATTAGCTGAAATAGTTTATCATCAATTCTCCACCTTAAAACGTTATTAGTAAATTATAATTTTACTTCTTTTTGTAATTTTACTATTAACTTCTTCCCATTTCACAATAATATGTAATGATGATGACATTAAAGTTCTAGATCTTACACAATTCTGGTGAAAGAGGATATTATGACTACTCCTGATTTTAACAGCAATTCATTTCTTACCAAGCCACTGAGTTAAACTTTGGCTTCACAAGTCTGGGGTGGTAACAAAGGCCTAGCAAGGGCATTAGCCTTCTCTATCCTTACAGTTTCCCAGGAGACAAATGGATGTTGCTGGGTGTCTTTGGCACCTGCAACTACTTTAACAAGTCTCCATCCATAGCAGTATTCTTAACAGAGAATCCCTGGAGTTCATGGCTTGAGAACAGCACTTTTTCAGACTCAAGAGTCCATTCAGAATGCGCTCAACAATGTGATCGATGACATAAAGTGTGCCTAAGGAGAGACACCTGGAGAGAAAACATTCTGTCAGGCTTTCACAGAGAGCAAATTGGTCAAGCAATGGCCGTGACTCATTCACATGGCTGGCACTCACAAAGGATTGGTACAGGGTTACAGGATAAATCCTGAGGGGACTTGACTGACCTTATCAGATACAAAAGTTACATTTCTTGTTATATAGGTCTTGCTTTATCTTGGTCTTAACCATCCAGCAGAAAAGTATAAAAATGAGG